AATAATAATAATAATAATAATAATAATAATAATAATAATCCAACCAAGTTTTAGCAAAATCCGCGATCCAAAATCACTATTTAGATTTCCCAACACAAAGGCAGTACCTGAAACGGAATCACTTGAAAAGAACTATCTCCAGTCTCTCCGAACGGCATCAAATCACCGCCGCCGTCGTTTCCGACCGATTCAAGAACTCTCGAGCCGGGCCGTACTCCCGGGACATCCTGCGATCGATCCGAATTTGAAAATTTCTGGGACACATATACAAATACAAAAACTATACGTATAGGTGTATAACCATAAATTCATAAGAGACCTGGGAGAGGAGATTAGAGAAAAAGAATCCAGCGAGGAAGGAAAGGAAGCAGAGGAGGAAAGCAGTGGGTGGCCCAAACTTGGTTCTGGGGAACTTCGCTCTGCCTTTCATCTATTATGGATCTCCTCTTCCTTCTTCTTCTTCGATGGAGGTATATTAGTACGAGTATTTTGATCGGGTATTGCCTCTGTTGGTTTTTTTTTCCCCTTATGTTTATATATCTTCCTTTTTATATTATTATTATTTATATATATAGATATAGATATATAGATAGATGTTTCTTTGTAATTGTGGTTCTATTAATTTGGCAATTTTGTCAGAGCCCTGTTCGTGGTTTTCTTTTTCTTAATTTCTCTCTTTCTCTGTGTTTGTGCGTCCGAGTTAAGTCCATTTTTTGACAATTAAGGAGAAGACCGAACGCGCTAATGGCGGGAGTTTTGCGTCAGGTCCCACTCTCCCACCTCGTACTTTCCATTCGCCAACTCCCACGATTATTATTGTTATTATTATTATTATTTTTAAATATAGAGATAGATAGATAGATATAGATGGATATTATTTTCATGTTTTCATTATACGGAACCATTTGTTTGTAATTTATTATAACACGTTTTTAGGAATTTAGAGTACAATAAAATGTCAAGTGTATAACTCGATGTTCATTATGCTTGCAAGTTCGCAACCGCTCCTCATTGTCAACATGCACTGAGGATGTTGGAGTTTGTCTGCAGAAGCAACTCGATGCTCAAGTAAAGCAGAAGTGTTGAGAGTGAAGAATATTAGCAAGAGAGTAAAGGATAGAAAATGTAAAATTAAGTATTTCAATTTATAGATGAGGTGATCAATTGGAAGAATCTCTTGGATCCACTTGGATTGATACAGTCACTACTGAATTAGTATTTTGGAAAGTATTAATGAATTTTTCTGTCAGGAAATAATTAGAGATATTTTCTAATATAATGTCATGTTTCTTATTTAAATGAGCCGTATTTAAAACTGATTGTCACGACGTCTTGATTGACATTATCGTGACGGCATGCTTTGTATTTCAATCTCAATCTATTGGCAGTCAAACTCCTTTAGTGTGATATGGACATCAAAAGTATGTTCCCCAACCTTAATCTCTATAAGTTTTGTATATCGGTTTTAATCATCGACTGACTTATGTGATTATCTCGATCTATAATATTAATGGTCACGTGTCACACTCTTATGTGGGAAATATACATGAATGAAATATATCATTTAAAAAGAGGTTATAAGATAGATCGATGTTGGCATATCCACATAATTTTAGGAAACAAATATATTTTTGCATAATATGTGAGTATTTCACGAATTGTATTGCTCATATACTCAACTCACCATGATGAGATTGACTTAAATCAAAGACCTTATTTAAAAAAGAAAGTGACCTAACCACTCCATCAAAATTACGTCATGTACCATGTGTTTTATCGATGAATTAGTATTTCGTGTTTAGATAATATTTAATTCACTGTCTCGTACTTCAAATAAAATTTTCTGAGTACGGTGAGGTTATTGTTTTGGTAATAAAAAACCATATAATCTGTCAAAAAAATCCTATTGTATTTTTATTTAAGAATTTATGCATTAAAGAAATTAATTCAGATTTTGTTTGAAAAGAAATTAGTATATTAATTTATTAATTTGAAAAAAAAAACATAAATACTAAGGCCTCATTTAGTTATGTGAGAATTTTTAATTATAATAAAAAAAATAAATAATTTTTTATAAAAAATTTTAATTATAATAAAATTAAAATTAAGATTAAAAACTCAAAACAGAATGTGATTTTTCTTTTTTATTTGAGAATTGAGAAATGAATTTGTATCTTCAAATAAAGGGGAAAAAGCATCTCACCAAGAAAGAAAAGGGGGGAAAGGGAATTCTAAAGCGTGTCGAGACATTTCAACCATGTCATGATAGGAATAAAGTAAAAGTATTTCAGAAAAAAATAATAATAAAAAGGGTTCTTTCTCCTCTGGTGCTGCGGTCCTTTTTTGAGTACGGACATGGTGTGTTAAAAATGATGCTGAGTGAATCGTAAATGGGTATTTAACCTTGGTCCAGCGTGTAATCGTGCAAGCGGCTGAAGGGGATTGAGCGTTATAATCCGAGTCCACGTATCAATACAGTTAAAGGTTCGA